GAGAAGTGCCAATGGAAGGGGGATATCAGAAAGATGACTGTCACAACAACACCTGGCAGCCCTTAATCTCCCCAAAGCTGCTCCTGAAGGTCAGGGAACCTTCTGAAACTGGGTGGACTGTGTCACTGCAGGTTGACGGGGAATTGCATCACAGCCCACTATATCCAGGAGGGTCCTCCATATTTCAGGGGAGGCTTTTCAGGGGCTGCAGAGGAGAAGGAGGCAGAAAGGTCCGCATCCTTTCTGCCGGTGCTATTCATATTAAAGTGACAGGAGTCCTATATTGCATTGCATATATATAATTTAAAGTATGATGGGGAATCTCTGCCTGCAGGCAAAACATTGCCCGCTAGATGTTCAAACTTGAGCAGCATGGCTGATTTCACCAAACCACACCCACTTGCTCGACACCTGACATCATATGTGATGTTAGGTATGGGGCAGGTAGAGATGTGCATTGGTAATGGAAAACAAGTCTTTGGCTCTACCACCCATCAGCGGATAGAAGGTAAATCTGAAACCTGCCAGATCAGGTGTGCAAGCAAGTTTTCCATGGGGAACTTGCAGACACACCCAATGACTACAGAAAGCTAGATTTGGCTCTACTGTCCGTCAGCTGACTTCAAAGTACCCAATCACAAGGCATCATCACTATGACATCAGGTGACTGGGGACACTCCCACCTGCCCGTCAAATTTTGCTCTCTAAGGTAGATCCTAATAAGGATCTGGCCTGTGGAGCCAAAAAGATCCCCCAATTTCTATTTTAACGTGACAGTAACAAAATAGTGTAAACATTCTTTGTTAAAGCCATTGTAACTAATTGAAGTTAAACCGTATTCTTTAATAAGTAACCATACATACTAACATCACTGTTTATAGTAATAACCATTTAAAGCAAGTTCTTGGTCATTTAAAGCAGGTCTCTCAAATCGTGAAAACATTTAGATAAACTTCATAATTCCCTCAAGGTAGTGTATAGTGAAGCATTGTATCTTATGGAAATGACAATCACTTAATAAGCCTGCATTTGAACTGTAATTATAATGAAATGAAGCAATAAATATTTGTTTCTCAGATCTTAATATGAAGATAAAAGAACAAGTTGATGCCATTCCACCACCTTCAGATGGCAACTCATTTCTAGAAAGCAGACTGGAGGATCCAAAGTAACAACAAACATAAGCTATTATATATTTATTACTGTTGTTAAGTTGCTTGTATTAAAGTTGTGTCAGCATTTCCATTATATACCCTATTTTCCGAGGTTTATTACTCAACCATAAAAAATGTGCTCTAGGCTGAAACTTGGCATTCAGGGTCTCAGGCCAGGGGGAGCAAATCTCTCTGGAAATCTAGGCAGTCTCTCAAAATCTTAGACACTATGCTTTGGACTGGCTTGAATGTATTTCAGCCTATAAACCACATTTCAAACCTCCCAGCTGGATGTTGCTGTACAGCTGGAAAATAATAAGCATATCATTCAAACCAGAACAAAAGAGAAACATCCATTACTTCCCCAGTTTAGCATATGTTACATATTTTGGAGATTGTACTTTCGTATACCTCTGAACTCTGGATGTCAACAGTTTATTTAATTCTAATGCTAGCCTCTTTACTTCTAGATTTCCTCCTGCACTGCAAAAAAGACTGGTGCAGAAAGCTGGAAAGAAAGGTGTATTAAGATTAAGAGGAAATATGTGGGATAACTCCATGTCACCTTACTATGTGGTTGTATTTAGTGGCCACAGGAAGTAAGGGCATAAAAGAGACAGAGACTAGACAATCTATAGATATGGAAACTGATCCATCTTATTGTCAGGGAAGAGTTAGAGGTTTTCAGTTTATCAGAGGGAGAAAGCATTCCCCAAGGGGGGGAGGAGAGCAGTGAATCTAATAGAAGGGAGCAAGAGGAACAACAGGGAGGGACCGACTGTTCACAGGAAAGGCAAGGGTTAAGTTCTAGCTCAGATTCGGAGGAGGGGAGATACAAGCCAGCTCTAGCCAGGAGGTTAGAAAAAAGAGCGGGAAAGCGAATGGAAAGGCGCCTTCGCCATTTTGAGAGTGGCTGGTCATGGAGAAGCAGAGCTCAGAAGGTATCTGAAAGAAGTGACTCTGAGGAATAATAGTTAAGAACTGTTTATAAGAATGTTTTGTTAATACGCAATAAAAAGTTTTATAAAAGAACAAGAAGCGTTTCTGTGGTGATCTGAAGAGGACAACGACCAGTCCTGACACTTATGTTTCATGGGTGTTTAAATAGTACCCAGGGGAAACAGATTTCTAGTCTTTCAATGTATCTGGATTACTAATTTCTAAATTTGTAGTTTGCATCTGTATGTTATATATTGATACACGAAGGTAGTTTTATACACTTCCATTCCTGTAGCCCAAAGCAAGTTAAGACCCTACATATTTCAGAATCAGACTTGTTTTATATGCAGACACCGTAGGCATTTGAAGCTGTATGAATTGTGCTCACTTTCACAGGATAGGTTGTAATCAAGGTAGGGTGGTCCTGTTCCCTATTTGAAGGACCATTGGGTCAAAGTCTGGTTTAAAGATAAAGAACCACTTGAAGGAAGAGCAAGGGCTTGAAGTTGCCTCTGGACAGCAGCAGCCTGAGAGATAACACAGGCCACAGTTTCCCCTACTATGGTGAGATGTAATATAGTTCTGATTATCATAATTATTTCTAAATTTGCATCTATACATACAAATAATAAAAATCAGTATGTGCTAATTTTATGCAAATTGATGGCCTATTCTTTTTGAATATGCCTTTTCTATGTTTAAGTAACCACTTAAACCAGAGACATGGTCTTTAAAGTGACCAGCAACAAAAGTAGTTGGTCTTCTCCTTTTTGAATGTGCAAGGAAACGCACTACTCCAGTTACAAGTTATTAATTGCTATTACAAAATATTAACTATTATTACAGAGCATAAGCACTTGCTTGATTTGATCAACAGGGAAGCATAAGGCTGGCTCAGATATTAGCTCTTCTACTCCCCTCATTGCAGGTAAGTTGTTACTGGAAGATCTCTCATTTAGCTAATCACAGCTTATTTGTGGGACGTGGGTGGCACTGTGGCACAGAGCCTAGGGCTTGCCGATCAGAAGGTTGGCAGTTTGAATCCCCGTGACGGGGTGAGCTCCCGTTGCTCAGTCCCTGCTCCTGCCAACCTAGCAGTTCAAAAGCACTTCAAAGTGCAAGTAGATAAATAGGTACCGCTCCGGCAGGAAGGTAAACGGCGTTTCCGTACGCTGCTCTGGTTTGCCAGAAGCGGCTTAGTCATGCTGGCCACATGACCTGGAAGCTGTACGCCGGCTCCCTCGGCCAGTAAAGCGAGATGAGTGCCGCAACCCCAGAGTCGGCCACAACTGGACCTAATGGTCAGGGGTCCCTTTACCCTTTGCCCAAAGTGAGACCAGTGTCAGACTTGGAGCTCTCAAATTTCAGTGGCACCCTGTGTGATGCCAAAATTCAGTGCCCCTGCCTCTTACTCTCTGTTCTACAGCATTGTTGTGGCAGCCCTGTTGGGTGTGGCCAAACCTGGTGTCAGGTGTGGCCAAACCTTCGCACTATCCTAAAACCGCCTCTGGTGAGAGGGGCAGGGGAGAGGCATAGAGGAAGAGAAGAAGGAACATGACACTCAAAGACTAAATCAATCGCTCTCTTAGGTAGAATGCCAGCAGCCAGGTAACATTAGAACAGGTCCAAAAGCTCCGATTTAATTCCAAAAATTCTAAATTGGCACAGTTGGATCTATTTTACAACCAAGTAGCTGCAGAAGAACAGCAACTGGGAACGGCTTTTAATATAACCGAAGGATAAATGAAATGTTTTAGCTTTCAAATCCTGGACCCTGAGAGCTGGCATCTTCCTTATTCCCTACACTTCTGAGGCATCTGACTAGAGGAGAAAATTACAGGAATTTTAGGTCAACCAAACCATATCTTCTACCACCTCTATTGCTGTTTTATTTCCTGTAATTTCAATTTTTTTAATTTTAATGTTATTGCAAGTCACCTTGGAATTTTTAAACTGGAAATGTGGCTTATAATTTTAAATAACGAAAGAATAAATAAAAATGAAATGAATACCTAGGGAACATGTGTTAAAAAATCAGGTAACCTATAGGTTTTCAACAGCATGCAATTCTCCCTCTGCATTTTCTGAACTCAGCAGCCTTTGTGAAGGTGCTACCTGGAACTATTTGGTGGAACACTAAAACCTTCTGCTAAATCCTCCCTAAGGACCTGCCTTTTCAGCATGTCTGAGAGCACTTATCATTATTCACCATTTTCCTATGAATAGTGTATCTCTTTTCTCTTTCTTATGGCTTACCTCACAATCTAATGATTTCATGCTCTTTTGACAAGTTTGTACACCATCAGCTCTCCATTATAATCTCCATCCACAGCCTATATACCTGATCCTGCACTCATTCACATCACATAAACATCTACAAAACATTAGAAATCAGGAACAATTGTCTGAAGGCACTAATTCAGAATTCTATTGCGTCAGAACAATAATCTGTAATTAATCATCTCTGGAACAGAAAAAAAAAGCAAGTTGGAGATCTGGGACTATTCTTCTCAAAATGTAGCAAATATATAGCAAAACACTCAGCAATGCTTCAGGCACGCTGGCATGCAAACGGTATCCATCATAAGATGCTATGGGAGGAAATAGCAGCATTTAATCCTGTTGCTTTATCGATCCCTCTTGTCCTAATATAAAGTGATGTAATAATGAACGATGTGCAGGTCCCTATTCAAAGCTGCTATGGATCACTTTTATGATGTGTATTGGCTTCACAGTAATGATAGAACCACCACTTTCTTGGAAGAGCTGTATTAAATCAGTGCTTTATTCTGTCAGGTAGTAACTCCAAGCTCCCAGAATAATAAAGATTATTTATAACAATACTCTAATACGTACATTCTGGGCAATTGGAACAACAGGTTTATTTCTGTGAGAGATGAAATTCAGTTAGTTAACTGTATATACTGCTCTGGACATTTTTGCGGAGAATGACATAGAAATTCTTAAAATAAAAATGAACAAATGCAATTAATTATGTAGAGGGGCAATTATATATATATATATTTAAATGCCGCCCTTTCAGATAATCACAGCCATGGAGGCCAAATAATAAAAGTGATCCAAAATATGTTAGTGCAGCAAAATACTTCAAATTATTGCTTTCACTTCCCTAGTGCTGATTTCCCCCACCTTGTTGTTACTGCATTTGTTTTGTTACTGCTGAGTAAGTATTCCCCTCCCCCAAGTAACTACTAATTACAGTAGAAACAAATTACCAGATTTCCTTTATCTCCATAAATGGTGACATCATGCTATGCAGGGATAATTGAAACGGTAATATTTAACTTACCATTCTTTCTTCGCTTTGAAGAGGATTATAGTTCAAGATTCTCTGTTAAGTGCTACTGGTGGAATTCCAAGCTAGTTTTGTGGACCTCGCTTTAGAGTTGTGCCTTTATTTTTGGAAATTTATTCCATCTCTCCAACTATATTTCAATCTAGATTACCTTCGGTTTGCCTTTGATTCGATGCCTGCTATGCTCCTATCAATGCATCTTGTTCCAAAACTAAGAATACTGAATTTGCTATTCCCCAGCACCCTGGTTCTCCAACAGCAGTGAGTACATGGCATGGTAGGTTATGCATGCTGCCTTCTAATGCTCAAAGACAGGAAACACAGATCTTTGTCTGTTACTTGCTCTCTCCTCTCCTCCTCTGGATCAATTTCTTGTCTTGACTCAGAGAGGAATGTGTGTGCACTCCCATTCTCTACTCTCCTCAGGTTTGTATAGCTCGTCATAAAATGGACTGGGTCAAGAAGAGGAGGAAACAAGGAATGGACAAAACATATGTGTTATCTGACTTCTGAAACAAGATGGAGGCATTACCCACCACACGTGTGTTTAACACCTCTGAGAAACACCTTTCAGGTGAGAACAGTTCCATTTCCTGATGCTGTTCTTCAGATGCATTCTGTCCGGAAACAAAACAAGAGTGCTCTGACACAGAGCTTGAAAGTGCTGACTGGGCGTGGAAAATGTGGACAAAAGTTAAGTGTGAATAAGTCCAGAGATGGAGAGATTCGGTGGCTGCAATGATATAAAAGGTAAAGGTAAAGGTACCCCTGCCCGTACGGGCCAGTCTTGCCAGACTCTGGGTTGTGCGCCCATCTCACTCAAGAGGCTGGGGGCCAGCACTGTCCGCAGACACTTCCGGGTCACGTGGCCAGCGTGACATCTGCTGCTCTGGCAAGCCAGAGCCGCACACGGAAACGCCGTTTACCTTCCGCTAGTAAGCGGCCCCTATTTATCTATTTGCACCGGGGGTAGCTTTCGAACTGCTAGGTTGGCAGGCGCATGGGACCGGAGCAACGGGAGCGTACCCGCCGCGGGGATTCGAACCGCCGACCTTTCGATCGGCAAGCCCTAGGCGCTGAGGCTTTTACCCACAGCGCCACCCGCGTCCTACAATGATATAAAGGCAACATTGCAGCACCAAGAGTGGTGAGATAAGAATGACTGTAAAGGGGATTCCGTGTCAAATTGAAGTGTCAGATTGGAAAAAGCAGGATCAAAGAGCAGACTCCTCTTTCCACTTCATCCTCACATGTGGAATTCCATAGGCATTTCTCGAAAACAACACTCAAGGGAATTTTGTTAATTAGGATACATGCTCCCCCATGTAGTTTACAATGGCCCATTCTGAAACTATCAATATGTGTTTGCTTACCTGTATTCTTTGTCAAAGAGATACATTTGGAGTCATGTTTGCAAGGATTTAGCTCTGGGACACAGTGGTTGATCACTCATCACATAGCTCCCCTGGCGGTAGAAACAAATTAAGAGGGCTTTTAAAAACAACTCTGATGTGAGACATTTGGTTGATTTTTCTTTGAACTATCGTGGAAAAAAGGTTTAGGGACAAATGGCCATTGAAGAATAACAGATTAATGACAAGGTCTGATGGTGTGCGGACCTAAAGAAAAGTGAACCCCACAAACTGTTGAACAAGCTGAATCTTGAAGCACAGATTAAAGAGGGCTTTCCACACTTACTGGTTCCTACCATCACATGTGCTTTCAAGCAAGGCGGCAGGTTCGCTCTCCCCAAAAGCCTAATGGGGGGTTCATGGAGGTGATTCTTTTCTTCTTCTTCAATGCTTTCCCTTGTGAAACCCAATCTTTATGGCTGAATTGGAGCAAATCAGCAATTTTGGGGTTGTCGGGTGGAATTGGGGTTTGCCTCCAATGCCAGGTAGTAAAGAGTGGGTTTTGTGGGGGAAAAGCTGGGGCAAAACAATAAGCCTGTGCAAACATGAACCTGGGACAAGTCCAGAACATATGCCATGGAAGTCAGAGCCAACGTTGGTAAAGCATGGATGAGCCTTTATTTGTGGCCTAAGGCCTTTCTGGACCAAGATGAAAAGGATCTGATGAAGTGTTATCAGGCCGCAAATAAAACCTGTTTGCCCAATGGTTGGCCCCCAAAAGTAAGTTGTTTTTGTTGCAACACACTGCCACAGCTGCCCTCGGGATTTGGAAGCAGCTCACTACCTTACACCAATAATTATATCCATTTCAGTGAACAGGTTTTACAACAGGATAGAGAGTAATATCACATACACTGTTCCTTGCTTTGGCACAACATTAAGCTTTAACTGTACTTGACCACATGACAAGGTCCCGGATCCAGCAGCCAAAGAGAACTAGTGACTCATTTATTAACATGTGGAGTAACATTATTGCTGCAAAAATGTTTTGAACAAAGCACTAACTTTCATTTAGAGCCAATTGTTTATTTTTTTCCTTGCAAGAATATTGTAAGTTTATTCAAAATGGTAAAAATAGTCTATTTTGTAATGCTAAACAGATTGAGACTTCATATGATTAATAAACATCTACTAAAAGAGCAGAGAACCTCCTGAACTCAAAGAATATGCTGTCTTCTAGGTAATATGGCCTCAAGGGCAAGTAATAGTTCAGCTGGTTTTCGTTATTTACCTGTTCCAGTCATGAGGTCTAGTTTTGTATTTTTAACTTCTAATAATGAACAGATCCACATGTTCAAATCCAGCCCTATTTGGTTACACTTCTGTAACTTAGACTTGGATATTGCCCATGGAGGACGCAAAACCCTTTTTGTATATGTAATATCTGGTTTATTAAACCCTTATAACATTATTTGTTCAGAAGTCTACTGAGCAGTTTGAGCCACAATGTAAAATTGCACAGATAAGTCCTATATATGTAGATAGCCCCAACATGCATTTCAAAACAATAACTGTCTCTAAATAGCCACAACAAAAGCTCCACTGGCAAAATGAAGCTGTAAATATGCAAACAGATCAGAGTCAATTCCATATTTTGCTATATATTCAGCTTAATAACAAAACTCATTACTGGAGGGAAAAAACAACAATAACATCTACAATATTACTAGTGCTTATGGCTAAAGCACTGTCACTCACAAACCTGTGCTAAGTGTCTGTTGTAAATGATGCCAAAAGGAATTGAAGAAAGTCAGAACCACATGGGGTTCCCCTAACTATAAATAATTTATGGCACTCACCTTGCTTGAAGGGAGGGGAGCAGCGTTAACTCAAGTCAGATTCAGGGGAATGACCAAATGAGTATTCAAAAAGTATATGGTTGCGTATAGTTACAGCACAACTCAACCACTTTCATAACTTGCTGCTGGTTCCCAGCAGACGCTCCAAAGTGCTAGGCCTATTGCGTATCAATCTGGGATTTTCTTACAAAAGAGGGGAAATCAGTTTGAGGTAGTACTGGAACAGTTATAAATCCAGCTGACACCTGTTCAGTTCTGCAGAGAATGCCAAACCAGAGAGTTTTCTTTTCTAAATCAGGATAGTGCATATTATCTTGTGCATAGTTATGTTGGATGCTTCGGCAATAATAACTATTTATATTGTCTAAGCACATGGGGGGGGGACCACAAAGCATGAATTTATGCTGGCATTGCAGATTTGTTATAATGGAACTGCATTCAAATACTAAAACAAATGTTTGGAGACTGGGGAATCCAGGCAATTTTCTGAGCATCACAGCTACAAAGTGGTAGAACCATTTACCAGGAATTGGCACCTGTCAATAATGGCCCAGGCCTTCTAATAGTTTTAAGGATCTCACAACTTATTATGGAACTAAGAACTTTGCTAAAGCTGAAATTGAATTTTTCTAGTACCAATGAGTTGTAGTAAATATCTTATATTTTGTCTGTTAGCCAAACATATGAAGCTTAATTTTATTCAACAAGTCATCTTTCACTAACAGACAGAACTACTGCCTGAACTACTGGGTCATGACCAATCTCTCCTACATTTGAAATCTTCATTTAAAGAATAAAGAGGCAGGTTCAGATAAATAATTAAATTATATGCCATCATTTTTCTCCACTGATATCATTTATTCCCTGAGCCCACACCCGCCTGGAAATCATTATAATAAATTCAAGTGTAATTAAGAACACAATTCTATACTCATTGATTCAATGAAGCTTCCTTCCAAGTAGGTAGAATATTGTAGTCTCAATGTCATATTTAGTAGCCAACTAATACACTTTCAGAAAAATGACTTTTAGCAAAATTGAAGCAGTGCTACTTACTCCTCAATTTGTCAAGCCCAAAAGTAATTTCTGAAAGAAAATCTTAAGAATTTTGCATTTTCCCAGACCATATGCCATCCCTATGCCTCTACAAGAAAGCTTCTTCCTGATATATAAAAGATATGAGCTGCCATCTAGTTCCTTGCTCTGCCGAACTACAAGACCTAAATCTGCCATTTTAATTATGCAATAAGCAAGAAATCTAACCTTACTTCTATCATTTCCACAGTAACTGAGCTGCTTACCACATCGTCTCCAATGTGCTTATCCACATGGAACTGTGTGGTAATTTTGGCACATGGTTATTAAACCTACAGATTCACAGCATGAAGCTTAATTCTTGTTTCTGAATCACTTCTCAATGACATCACATTTCCTCATCTCAACTTTTGCATGTAAACTAAAACATATAAGATAAGATTTTTTAATCTATTATTATCACCTCTATTTTTTCATCATTATATTTTATTTGTAAAGCTTTGAAAATTACAAAATACTGTGTAATACATTTTTAAGAACAGAATTCTCTGCCTCAGGGCTAATTCTTTGCCTCTAGGTATAGATGCCATGTGTCATAAAGTTTTTTTAATTGCATTGCTTGAAATAAAAAGTATCTTTTTCAGTACCATACTAAACTGAACAAGAAACCTAAAATATAATTTACTTGCAATACCAAATTATATTTTGGCTTGTGCTAGCATCCTCTAATGTACTAATATTTTCATATTTTGCATTTTTTAATGCAACAACAACCACCCACCACCCTTCACCCTAACGTTTCAGAGCAGGTTACAACATTAAAGCAGTTTAAAGTGGCTTAAATTTAAAATAATATATTTAACAAACTTTATCATACACTGGATTAATGTGTGAATGACATTCCTAGTTGCACAGTTAGGATCCTTTAGCGCTGCTTTGTCTTATTTTTTTATTCGTACAATTTAACTCATAAAATATAATAAATGA